CCAAGCTTGGTCTGACTGATCGAATGGTCTACCTGAGACGTGTCCAAGCTGGGTCTGACTGATTGGGTGGTCTACCGGAGACGTGTCCAAGTTGGGTCCGACTGATCGGATGGTCTACCAGAGAGGTGTCCAAGCTGGGTCTGACCGATTGGATAGTCTACCAGAGAGGTATCCAAGCTGGGTCTGACTGATTGGATAGTCTACCGGAGAGGTGTCCAAGCTGGGTCTGACTGATCGGATGGTCTACCAGAGACACGTGGACGGATTCCTTGTATTTCCTGTATGTGATGTTTGATTCAATCTCCAAGACCTTTGCTTCAGTCCAACATATTCTGTGACCTTCATATGTATGTTGGGCTAATTTTGATTTTTCAAGCAGACCCTGTGTCAAGTTACATTAATGCTTCTTAATACCTACTTCTACAGATCTGCTTGTTTCGCCGATGTAAGGTCTGCCACAATCACACGGGATGCTGTACACATACTCCTTCGTCTGCTGGGCACCTGTAACCATCAGTGTCCCACGGAGTGTGCGTTTTGTTTTGAAAATGATCCTGACATTGAAACAGTTTGTAACGAGTCTGAATTTCTTCGAAAATTACAGTTTTCATTATTTAATATTTACGTTTCTATACAGCGGACGAGAAGACGAAAGGGTCCGAACTGAATGGTAACAAGCATTACCCGAGTTCAACCCGCTCTTAATTTTTTCATGAACCAAAATATATACGTATATACCTATACAAAATCCAAATTTCATTTGCTATCAAGTCTAAGGCACATAATATCTTCGGTCACTTGAGCATTGAAATACTGGACTCGAATCCCGCTTTGTACATGGACGTATATCCGTTTCCTCTCTGTATTTGTGTTGTCCTGTTTTGATAGCGCCTTTGTGACGGGCCTACGAATTGTCTACACGCTTCATATTTTCAAAAGCCAATTCTGAATCCGAATAGGTCCCAGCGAGAGACCCGTTCAGACTAATCCAAATGAAAGTCGAAGATTCTGCAGATTGTATATTCTGCCCCGAAATATATTTTGTGTTAAAGAAATGGGATATGAAAATGTGAGCTGGATTAATCTGGCTCAGAACAGGGTCCAATGGCGGGCTCTTGTGCAGAACTGATGAACTTTCAGACCCCATGAAAGATCGGTGATTTCTAGACTAGCTTCAATGACTATTTACATTGTCACCAAGGACTGTCATATTGACTTACCTGAGTATCGTCAACTGCAACCGGGTGCACAGGTTACATAAGGGCAGTAAATGTTTCACACTCCCAACCATCTCACACTTACACAACGTACATTGCGTGTACGCGATAGCGACAAATTAAATTCTCAAGGTCATATGAAATTATGCATGATTATATGAGGTTTGAGAACTCCTCAGCAGTGATTATGAAGATTACTGTCTTCTGAAACGTGACGTCGTGAAGTCTAGTGCAGCATTAGTAACGTTTCGGAGCAACTCCACTCTGAAAATTCAGGTAGCACGTATCTCCAAATACGTTTTAACAACTTACCAGACTACACGGCGTCATGTCACAGGATACATTAATCTGCTTATGCAAGAGATTTAAATTGGCTTATGCTGGATTTGAGGTTCTCATATCAGTTCTATGCCGGTCACGGTAGCCGAGCGGTCTAAGGCATGCACTGTCTTAGCTCGCTTGGAAGCCGGGATCGTGGGTTCGAATCCCACTCAGGGCATGGATGTTCAGTTTGTGTGTGTGCGTTTTTCTGTGTTTGTGTACAGGTAGAGGCCTTGCGATGAGCTGATCACCCGCCCAAGGAGTCCTACCGAATGTGTAAGATCTAGAAAAACCGAAGTGAACGGAGAAGTTCATGGAGGTACGCGTAGGCCCACTGCGGCTGTAGTGCCAAGAAAAAAAAAATATCAGTTCTATCTCATGAGATATAATGCTGTGTAGTCCGTTGAATGTCAACAGACGTTTCCCAGGAAAATAGAGCCTCCATCTTCAGGATCTTATAAAGAAGCCAAGCAAGAAACCAGCACGAATCAGCAGGCGGAGATGTAACTATCAACAGACTACATGGCGCTACATTCCAGAAAACATGTCATTAGCATATACAATACAAGTATCGCGTAGATCTCTTGGAAAGAGGATTCCACGTCCCTGNCGATCCGGCTGAAATCCCCAGTTTTATCATTGAAGACTGCTCGGACATTTTTGCCTTTCTTTTGGGTTACATTTTTAATATCAATTTTTAAGAAGGGAACTTTCCCACTCTGCGGAAGCCAGCGGCCGTCGGGCCTGTTTTCAAGAAAAGTAACAGTGTTCTGATTACTAATTACGGACCAACCACAATTAAAAAAAAAGAATCCGTAATTTTTTTAGATATATGATCAGCTCTCCTTTTATTTTAAATTCAAACTTCATCCATCTCGGCATGGTTTTATTAAATCAAGGTCTAATGCAACAAATTTACTTACTCACTTAAACTCTATCGCAGTTTCTCTCAGTTCACAAGGGCAAACCGATTCAATTTATTTTGATAAAATTTCTCATACTTTTTTGCTACATACACTCAGTAATGATGGAGTCTTTGGTCGTTAAATTAATTGGTTCCAAAGCTACTTATCATCTAGGCCGCGCAATAGCTCAAGCGGTTAGTCGTTGGCTTCCCACCGCGGCGGCCCGGGTTCGATCCCGGGTCTGGTCAAGTGGGATTTGTGATGGACAGAATGGCGCTGGGGCAGGTTTTCTCCTAGTACTTCGGTTTCTCCTGCCAATCTTCATTTCACAAATCGCTTACAATCACTCTCACCTATCATCTGGGGCTGATACAATAGGCCAGAAGTGGCCGCAGTACAAGGGACTTAGTCCCACCCCACTAGCAATAAAAAAAAATAATACTTATCATCTAGATTTTCTGTTGTTCGCACTTCAGGGAAATCTTCCTCACATTTTCTTATGCTGTCAGGAGTGCCACAAGGCTCCATTTTGGGACCTCTATTGCTAAATATTTGTAGTAATGATTTATGCGCCGAAAAACTGTCACGTGTTTGCTACGCAACGTGACAAGAAAATATGGGGTTGCGTTATTCTAGTCTTACTGTGTTGGCACTTATATTAGGAGTACTTTTTTGACATCTAAACCATCTAAACAGGCACTACAACAAGAAAACCATTCCTGGTAGATTTAAATCCACGTCATATTATAAAAAAGAAATAGCCTATACGAAACAATGAGAGATTTATTTAACAATATGAAGAATTGAAGAAAGCAGTTTTCTGGGATTTGGCACCGTGTATATGTGGTGTTAACCGACGTTTCGGAGGAACGTATCGCCTCCATCTTCAGGGTAGAAGAAAAAATATAAGAAATCTGCAAGCGAAGAGACCGTAAGAACCGGTAAAAGCAGACTGCTTTTACCGGGGGGGGGGGGATAAGAAATTTATCTTACAAAATTTCGAGACTATAACAATATAAAAATGTGATGATAATAGTCTTAATTATAACAAAATTTTCCGTGGCACGCGACAGCATGATTGGTTGAAGGGCTATGCTACAAGCCAGAAGGTTGCGGGTTCGATTCCCGACAAGGTCATTGGATTTTTCAATTGACCTAATCATTCCAGGTGCACTTTGGCCCCGAGATCGACTCAGCCTCTAACAGAAATGAGTACCAGGAATATTCTAGGGCGTATAGGGCGGCCGGAGCGTAGGGCTGACAACCTCACCGCCATCATGAGCCAATAGTCTAGAAAATGTGGGAGCCTCGACGTCTCACAACCCTATGGGCCTCCACGGCCTGTTACAGGGATAGCTTTACCTTTTACTTGGTAAGAAAATTTTCCTGTAGTAACTTTAGTCTAAAACAGAAGATACCAACAGGGAATGAATGAATGAATGTATGTATGAGGGACGGGCCTTCTTGGCCCTTGCACCGCGACCTACAGTGGTCTATTGCGCTTAGCCAACATGGAAATAGCTAAAACTCTTCTCAATGTGAGAAGAGCAACCGATATGGGAAGCAAGCAGAACTGACCCAGAATGCCATCCGACCTATTAAGACGGTCATAAACTTCTTATGGAACATGCTCTTGTGTGTTGGAAAATACCAATGTCAATTGAGTTAACCTTTCAAATTAATCGTATATCCTTAAAAGAAACGAAAATTAATGTCTGAAGTATGTTTTTCAACGATTTCTCAGCCTCACAGATTATTGCGTGGAGTGGGATTACAATCGCGAAGCCGAATTGGAACGATGTGGAAATAAAGAGACGCCGGCTGTTTCAAGTTACTTTTCCATAATTTGCTTGGAACGAGTAATAAAAACAGTGGGTGAGCGATGTTTGGGATCAGAGTTTAATCTTGGATATGAAGAATATGGAATAGAAATGAGAACCACTGCAATATTATGATGATTAATTCATTCATTTAGTAGTAGTACTGTTTTTAGAATATACGTGTACAAAACTATAATTTTTCCTGTGGTTTTGTATTGGTATGAAACTTGGTCTCTGACATTAAGGGAAGAACATAGACTGAGGGTGTTTTAGAACAGGGTGTTGAGAATATTTGGATCGAAGAGGGATGAAGTGATAGGAGGTTGGAGAAAACTGCATAATGAGGAGCTTTATAACTTCTCCTCAGTTATCCTCATGAGGCTTAGTGGACCCTGTTCCAGACCCACTACTTCTCAGAATATCTGGTAGCGCTGGGAGTCGAACCCGAACCTCTCGATCTGTAGCCAGGAACTCTGACCGCTAGACCACAGAGGCGACCGAACCTGGGCCTCTGCTGTGAGAAGTCAGTGATTAACCGCCTCAACTATGGCATGGCCTTGCTCTTAGCGATTAGTTATATGGCTAGGATGGGTTACCTGGAGCTGTCCTGAATGACCTAAGTATGTCATTGTCTTTCCCAGGCGATCAAGTCACACAATCTGATCAAGGAAATACTTAGTTTTTCGAGTAATACGAGGATGTTACTTCGTCGGAGACCATGGGGCTTGCATACTGACCTTATGAAGACCGCCAGCAGAATGATAATGGCCGCCACCAGAACCATAGCGATCAGCACACCGCACACGATGTACACACTGTCACTTGGTGCATCTGGAACACAGGGAAAGTGCGTCAGGTGCGTGTTCAGACCCCACACGCACGGCTGTGTGATCAGGGCACTAAAGGGAAAGAACAAACAGAGATTAGTTCTTTAGAAAGCACCAACTTTCTAGGCTTGTGCTTCGGAGGTGCTTGATAAAAACGTCTATCAGAACATGGGCTATCCTGACAGGTTTTTCATAGTTTTCCTCAGTCCCTAGGCAAATGCACGAATTAGACCACAAGAATTTCCTTCCAAATCGTTTCCAGTTCACCAACATTCACACCAGCGCTGTAAAATGAACCACAGGAAGAAAGCATCATCTCATTGGTCTCTGTAATGGAGACAAGTGTTTTCTGTGAGGTGGGAGAATAAGAAGGGATTATGAGTGAAAATTAAAATAAGAGCAAAGACATAGGGAAAGGGAGGAGGAATACGAGAAGGTTAAGAAGAGAAAAACAGATGAAGAAGAAATTTATACGGAGCAGAAGAGAATGAGAAGAAAGAAGATGCGATAAGGGGAAGAAGGAAAAAGGAAGGGGAAGGAAGGATGAAAAGGCGAAGAGGAAAAATGAAGAAAAGGTAGGAGGAAGATGAAAGGAAAAGTGAACAGAACTGTTAAATGTACGTGACTGCAGCTTCCCAAACAAACTGACTTCAGGTACTGGCATATTCAGAATCTAGCTGTCCACACTGGTTCAACGTGTGGGGCACGCGGTAGCGTAGCTACAAGCCGGAACGTCGCGGGCTCAAGTCCCGATGACGTCATTGGATCTTTTTTCAATCTACCTAATTCTCCCAGTGGCACTATGGCCCTGGGGTCGACTCAGCTTCTAACAGAAATGAGTACCAGGAATATTCTTGGGGGTAAAGGGCGGTCGGCGCGTAAGGCTGACAACTTTACCGCCATTTACGAGCCGATTGTCTAGAAAATGTGGGACCTCAACATCTCACAATCCTATGGGCCTCCACGGCCTGTTACAGGGGCACCTTTACTTTCTTTATTTACTTTTACTTTACACTGGTCCAACGTGTGGTCAGATGCAGTTTTTATGTTTAGTTCACATAAGTTTATGAGAGAAATTTTAAAGACTACATATTTCTATCGGATCTCAGGAGTTATGCGGACATTGTGGTGTCATTATATTTTATGTACAGTCATTTATTTATATAACGTTATTCAAAGTTCAAGGACTGAATTTTATCCATACCGATAATACTAACATTATTGTCACGCGAGAATGATGGACAGAAGGACGAATAAGCTGATGGGCATGCTTCCATTTTCAGCTTGGAGGTGTGTCCCATAGAGTCGATTCCCTCTGCTCAAGCGAGAAGAAAATAATTTTGTAGTCCAAGTACACCCAAACGACTGCGAGATCTAGAAAGACATATTGGCAGTTGCTCTCTCCTTCATAACCTTCGCTTTACTTGTTGCTAGTTGGGTGGGACTAAGTCCCTTGTACTGCGGCCACTTCTGGCCTATTGTACCAGTCCCAGATGATAGGTGAGGGTGATTGTGGAGCAATTGGTGGAATGAAGATTGGTAGAGTAAACCGAAGTACTCGGAGAACATCTTCCCCAGCGCCACTTTGTCCACCACAAATCTCGCTTGACCAGCCCCGGGATCGAACCCGGGCCACCGCGGAGGGTAGCTAGCGACTAATAGCTTGAGCTATGGCGCCACTTCCCTTTACTTAAAAAACAATTAGATTTTACGAAAGTATGTTTGAGTTGTTTAACAAAATTTGATTTGATATAGTACCTCGCTCCATATTGTATGGAGCCCGGATATTTCAATCAGTACAGTCACTAGGTTACGATTTGGACGATCGAGATGTCAGAGTTCGATTCCCGGCAGGGGCAAGAGATCTTCTCCACATTGTCCAGACCGGGTCTGGGGACCAACAAGCCCCTTCCACAATGGGTACCTGGGGCTCCTTCCTGGGGGCAAAGCTACTGGGTCGTGAAGTCGACCATCCTCCATCTACTTACGAGTTTAAGAACGGTGGAGCTGTACTTCCACTCCCGCATACGTCTTCATGGCGTGAAGCTTAATTAAGTATGCACAGGGACAACTTTACCTTTCATCTTACACTGTTAGGGTTTTCCGATAATAAGTTATTTTAATCGTAACTGATTTTAAGGAACGTTTTATGTTAGAGCCTAAATGAGGGCCAGAAATGAATAACACCATATGAATTTATATTTCTTTTATGTAAAAGTAAGGTAAAATTGTCCCTGTACGTAACTAATTAAGCACTACGCCATGAAGGCGTATGGGGGAGTGGATGCATAGATCTACATTTTCTTGACGTCAGCACTAGCTGGAGGTGAGTGGTCAGCTTCATGCCCCGACAGCTTTACCCCAGGGGAAAGAGTCCTCGGTACCCGTTGGATAGGATGGACCCCAGAGTCGATCTGGACGACTTGAAGAAAAGAAAATTCTTGACCCTACCTGGATTCGAACTCCGACACCTCCAGCCCGTAGCCACTCGCTGTATCGACAACCGTATTGCCTACATGAAAGGTGGCGGTAAATCAGTTACTATTCGTGCTTCTTGCTTGGAAGGTACTGGGTTAAAATCCTCGTGCCGAAGACGTGCTAAGAAGACTGAGACCTACGTGGTTTTACTCACTGCATCCAGGCGAACACCGCGAGAGTCGCTTTAAATTAAGCCACGACTGTGTCCTTCCATATCCTTTCCAATTCATTATTCTCTACCATTCTCCCATTCGACGATCTATAACCTCAGCAACTGCAAGTGTCGCCAACTGACCAAATAAGTGGCTACATGGAGCAAATTTCTTCTTCAGAACCGAATAGTCGTTGCTACCGTCTGCTGTCTAGGAAAGTAAAAATTAGAATATACAAAACATAACTTTGCCTGTGGTTGTGTATGGGTGTAAAACTTGGTCTCCGACATTAAGGGAGGAACATAGACTGAGGGTGTTTGAGAAAAGGGTGTTGAGGAGACCGAAGAGAGATGAAGTGAAAGGAGGCTGGAGAAAACTGCATAATGAGGAGCTTCATAACTTGTACTCTTCTCCAAGTATAATTAGAATGATCAAGTCAAGGAGGATGAGATGGGCGGAGCATGTAGCATAAATGATGGCGAGGAGACATACATATAGGATTTTGGCGGGAAGGCCAGAAGGAGAGAGAGCATTAGGAACACCTAGACGTGGGTGGATAGATAATCTTAAAATTTATCTTAGAGAGATAGAATGGCGTTGTGTAGGCAGGGTTGGTCTGGTGCTTGATAGGGACCAGTGGAGGGGGTTCCATAAAATGTTGGTAAATTCTTGAGTAGCTGAGAGACCGGTGGCGTTTCAAGGAATCACCTACCTGGAGTTATTTATTTACCAGTTTGCACTGTTTCCTGTCCAAGGCCAGTCGGTCTCTGGACAGTTATTCCCGAGTAAAGTCGCCTGGTTGAGAGGTGAGGGTGGACTCTAGCACCGCACGATCAGAAACACACAGCGGCATTTAGTCCGTGGTCTGGAGCACAACGGTAGGTGGGGCACCAACGTTTCGAAAGAACTTGCTGCCACCATCTTCACAGTAAATATTCTTTTGACAATAATAATCTCAGGACCATGATCTTCTGGAACGTGAACCTGCGTAGATCAGAGTACTCTGGAGGTAGCACGTTCGTTTAAAACTTTCATACCAATCTGCTAGACGAGATGGCGTCACGCAGCAAACACATAGCTATTGCAGCACTTATGTAAGAAACAATGTTTGTTGCATCCAACAAGCAATCCCGTGCCTAGTTGTGATCTAAGCAGAAAAGGAATGAATGACTTGCAGAAAAGGCACACGTGGCTCTGACATGTGAAATGCAAATGTGTGTGGATGGCTGCAAACATGCAGGGGAGGTTTATATTCGCGTAAACGGAATGTGTTCAAAACCATAGGCAGTCATGTGAGAGTAACCAGCCGCCTGGTACGCTGCCTTTCATAAGTCCATAATTATTTGCTTACTTTCGTAATTTATAATGGTAGACGGACCTACAGTACGTCAATCTGTGTGTGCGCGTGTGCGTGCGTGTCTATTTACACGGCTAAATGGTCGTTACGAGGGCTCATACGAACATCATACCGATACAGCCCATCACAATTTTATACATTTTAATCTCGTACCAGTAACAGTGTCAGTATGATGGCTACAACAATTACAGAGAAGAAAACTTCCTATTGTAGGGTCTAGAAGTTTGTAATTATAAAAATGTAATTGTAATGTTTGTAATTGACCGTCTCTGTGGTCTAGTGGTCAGAGTTTTTGGCTACAGATCTAGAGGTCCCGGGTTCGATTCCCGGTGCTATNCAATTGAAAAAAAAATCCACCTCATCGTGACTCGATCCCGCGAAACTTCCTGCTTGTAGCATAGTGCCTCACCCAACTACGCTACCGCGTTTGTGAACATGAGAATTCAGTTAACTAATTAGTTATCTCCACTGAGCAGATTTGTGAGGAAGCCAATCATTGCTCGCATTGTCAAGAAATAATCCACCTTTGACGGATCCAGAATGATCACTAATATTTTCATAAGACTCTGTCCATTGATCTTCACATCCTATTAGAGATACACCTTAATATTACCTTCTCATCTATGTCTAGATCTTGCAAGCAATTTCTTATTTTCAGGTAGAAATTAAATTAACTGCAAAAAATAACAACCAATTACCCGAAAGCTACATAAGCCTGAACAATGAACAACTTACAGCAGGCATGACCCACAGACTACGACCGTCTAGTACTACGTAACGTCATGTAGTCTGATATATCATTATCAACGTTTCGGATAAGTTTGCTGCCTCCATCTTCACGGTAGTGGGAATGATACTTTCTTTTATCCCGAAGACGGAGGTGACACCTTCCTGCAAAACGTTGATGGCGATTTACCAAGCAGTACGGCATCCGTTTCCTGAATTCAGTACTATTCAAAGTCACAGGCGTGAGAAGAGCGGCCCTGTGAGATTCAGGAAGACCCAATTCGGATACCT